TGTAAGCCGCACCGAGCCCCACGGGAGTGGCGGAATATAAGTTCAAATGAATAAATAAATAGGTGGGGTGATAGAGGATCCCTGGGGCTGCCCCTCTGTGAAACTGAGGTCCTTGGAGGAGGGACTGCCATCCCCAACCAAAGGCTTTTGCAGGGGCCCTTTGTCCAGAAGGGAAGGGAAGGGACGAGGGCCCAAGTATGTCCCAGTGCATTGGTGGGGCTTTTTTGTGGGGGAAGCTTCCACATCCCTGCCTTTCTTGGGTCCAGTTCTTCCTTCTTTCAAACATTTTTCTTTCTGGTGTTTTCTTGTTTTTTGTTCCATTTGTCAAGCCATCTTGTCTTCTTTTTCTCTTTTTCTTCTTTCTTCCTCTGTTCCTGAGCACAGAGGGAGGAGATAAAACCAGAAAAGGTCTCAAAATATTTTTTTAAATGTGGAATATATATGTGTGCGTATGTGTAAATTTACAATATGTGTGTATATGTATGTGTGTGTGTGTGTATATATATATATATAGATATATATATAGGAAGTGTTTCTATTGGGATTAAGCATGTGACAGTCTGTAAGAAGTGAGATTGAACTGAAGGCGTTTGAAGAATATCAGTATTGCTTTACTGTGTTTGGTGTTTTTATGTTGACAGTTTATGGGCTTGTTTATTTGTATATCTGTTTACTGTGTAATTAATAAAAATAGTGTTTTAAAAATAACAAAAGGCCAGTGGAGGCAAGTTTTACCTCAGGAAAAGCATCTTTCCCTCTTGCCATTGCACAACAGCCCTGCCAGGTAGGCCAGGCCCAGAATTAAGCATCTTGGCCCTTCTCCACCCATTCAACAACCCTGCCAGGTAGGCCAGGCCCGGAAATAAGAGCCTTGGCCCTTCACCCATACAACAACCCTGCCAGGTAGGACAGGCCCAGAATTGAGAGCCTTGGCCCTTCTCCACCCACACAACAACCCTGCCAGGGAGGCCAGGCCAGGAAAGTCTTGGCCCTTCTCCACCCATTCAACAACCCTGCCAGGTAAACCAGGCCCAGAATTGATTGCTTGGTCCTTCTCTACCAATACAATTACATCCCAGGTAGGCCAGGCCAGGAATTAAGAGCCTTGGTCCTTCTCCATCCATAAAATGATGTCACAGGTATGCCAGACTTGGAATTAAGAGCCCTGGCCCTTCTCCACCCATACAACAACCCTGCCAGGTAGACAAGGCCCACAATTGATTGCCTTGGTCCTTCTCTATCAATACAATTACATCCCAGGTAGGCCAGGCCAGGAATTAAGAGCCTTGGTCCTTCTCCATCCATAAAATGACCCTACCAGGTAGGTCAGGCTCAGAATTAAGACTTATTTATTTATTTAGAACATTTGTATCCCCTCCGAAGGGGGACTCCGGGCAGCTTACAATTGGCAATTATTAGATGCCAACAAAGAAACAGTTACAGCATAACAATTAACATAAACAGGTCAACAACAGTAAAAAGAAATACATTGAAAATATTGGCCCTTGATATATTAGCACAACCAAGTCTGAGTCTGCAAATCCAAATCATAATGCGGAGTTCCAGTCCAAGGTCTCTTCATTATAGTTGTTGCTCAGCCAACTGTCCAAATGCTTGGTCTCAAAGCCAAGACTTCAGTTTTTTCCTGAAGGAGAGGATAAAAGGAGTCACCTTGATTTCACTGGGGAGTGCATTCCACAAAAGGCGGGCCACCACCAAGAAGTCCCTGTCTCTCGTCCTCACCAACCGCATTTGCAAGGGAGGCAGGATCAAGACCAGGGCCTCCTCCGACTATTGTAAACTCCGAGGTGTGTCATAGAGGGGGATACGTTCGGACAAGTAAACTTGGCCAGAACTGTATAGGGCTTTATAGGTCAAGACCAGCACTTTGAATTGTGCTAGGAAGGGGACCGGCAACCAGCGAAGCTGACGACGCAGGGGGTGCTGTGCTCCCTGTAAGTCGCTCTACTGAGTAATCTGGCCACCGACCGTTGAATTAGTTGGAGTCTTCAAAGGCAATCCCGCGTAGATTGCATTACGATAATGTATTCAGGATGTAACAAGAGTGTGGATCACCATGGCCAGACCAGACTTGGCAAGGTATGGGCGCAGCTGGCACACAAGTTTTAATTGTGCAAAGGCTCCCCTGGCCACTGCCAAAACCTGGGGTTCCAGGCTTAGTGATGAATCCAGGATCAGCTAAACAACAGAGAGGAAAAAACTAGGCACAGATTAACACCTCCCAGCAACAGATTTTCCCAGACTCAGGCAGGCCTTCAAATGCTAATGAAGGTGATCAGCTAAACATTCACACCTAACTGCAGCAGGGAAGAGCTCCTTGCCCCACCCCAGCCATTCCACAGATATATAAGCCCATTTTTCCTACTTCCAACAGACCTTCTCAACCTCCGAGGATGCTTGCCATAGATGCAGGCGAAACGTCAGGAGAAATGCCTCTAGAACATGGCTCTATAGCCCGAAAAAACCCACAAGAACCTAATCCAGGATCACCCCCAAGCTGCGGACCGGAGTCTTCAGGGGGAGTGTAACTCCATCCAACACAGGCTGTAACCCTAGGCCAGGTTCAATAGGACCTCTGTCTTGTCTGGATTCAATCATGTACAGGAAGATTCTTTCCTGGTGTTTTGGGATTTGCTTGTCTAAAAGTCCCAATTAAAAAGGTTTTAGTTTCAGTGTTACTTAGTGTGAGGAAGCCTAGTAATAATCAATATCAACTTAGGAGCCGTTTTACAAAGGGACCACTAATTTAAAAGGGTTTACCTATTGGATAGCGTAGCATTTAATGTCCCTGATTTGGTCTTACTTCTTATGCAGGGCTGTTTGACCTAGAAGAAAGTGTAGCAAAGGGAAGGCTTGAGGAAAACAGTAACAAATTTAGGTTCTTGTGGGGTTTTTTCAGGCTTTTTGGCCATGTTCTAGAGGGATTTTCTCCTGACGTTTCGCCTGCATCTATGGCAAGCATCCTCAGAGGTAGTGAGGTCTGTTGGAGTTAGGAAAATGGGTTACATATATCTGTGGAATGGCTAGGGTGGGGCAAAGAGCTCTTCTCTGCTGGAGCTAGGTGTGAATGTTTCACCTGACCACCTTCATTAACATTTGAAGGCCTGGCTGAGCCTGGGGGAATCTTTTGTTGAGAGGTGTTAAGTTGTGCCTGGTTGTTTCCTCTGCTGTTTTGCTGTCATAATTTTAGAGTTTTTTAATACTGGTAGCCAGATTTTGTTCATTTTTATGGTCTCCTCCTTACAGTAACAAATTTATTTAACAGGGGAATAACAGATTCAATGTTACTTCTCTAGAGGCACAAACTTAGTTGGTTACATTGGTAAGGTTTCTTGAATAACTTTAGGTACTAAACAGACTTCAAAAGGTGTCTTTAAGTAGATGTTTCTTTAACAAGCGTTCTTTTACTACAAATAAGCTACCTGACTTATTTAACTGTATTGGCTCCAAGCCAAACCCTGATTCTTAACCAAGGAATCAGCCCTCCCTGTAGTTCTACCACTACAGGATTCCTGCTGGATTTCCACACCCACACCCACATAGGATCAACTTCTGTGGTACCCTGGCCACAGTTCCCCGATTCTCCCACTACACAACCAGTCTTCTCTGTAGCTCACCGGCAAGGCAAGCCAGCCACCAGCCCTAATAAAATACAATTCTACATACTTACCATTATTAACTATTGTCTAAACAACACACAACTATAGGAATAAAAATACACATCGTCACACTTAGTTTTTTATTTTGTTTTCAATGTTGGTATGCACTTTGATCCAGAATGCTTTAGCTTTTGGGCAAATTCAGCACATATGATAAAAGGTTTCAACCATTTCTTTACATCTCCAGCATAAATTAATTTTTTAAATTTATCTTTGAGGGGAGTTTTTTTGGAGTTATGTAGCATCTATAGATAATTTTGTAAACATTTTCTTTAACAGAGTAACTTCTTGTAGATTAGAATCTATTCTTCCAAAGTTCCTCCCATTATTCTACATTTATCTATTTGAGCCAAATATTTCTGGGCTTTTCTGCAAGATCACCACAAGATGTTAAATTTCCAACATTATACTTCCATTTACATTTGGTAGAGTTGCCTTTGTACATCTTAGAGAGTCTCTCTTGGCATCATTTTACTAGAATGTGAGTGCTTTCCACACTCAAGGCATCCCAGTGTAAGTTCTATTATGTTTTTGAAGATTTCCACTTTCACAGAAGCTCTTTCCACATTCCAGGCATTTATAGGGTTTCTCACCAGTGTGAATCCTTTCGCTGCAGAGAATGCCTCCAACTGAAGCTCTTTCCACACTCCAGGCATCTATAGGGTTTCTCCCCAGTGAGTTTGTTGGTGTCTATGTAGCTCTCCACTGCCACTGAAGTTCTTTCTACACTCCTGGCATTTATAGGGTTCCTCCCCAGTGTGAGTTCTTTGGTGGTTATTTATACGCTGAGTGAAGCTCTTTCCACACTCCAGACATTTATAGGGTTTCTTCCCCAGTGTGAATTTCTTGGTGTTTACATAGATCTCCACTGCCAGTGAAGTTTTTTCCACACACCAGGCATTTATAGGGTTTCTCACCAGTGTGAATCCTTTCATGTTGCTGCAGATAAACCCTCCGAGTGAAGCTCTTTCCACACTCCAGGCATTTATATGGTTTCACACCAGTGTGAGTCCTTTGATGTGAACATAAATTTCCACTGTCAGTAAATCTCTTTCCACACTGCAGGCATTTATAGGGTTTCTCCCCAGTGTGTGTCCTTTGATGTAAATGTAATCTTCCACTGTCAGTAAAGCTCTTTCCACACTCTATGCATGTACAAGATTTCTCCCCATTGTGAGTTTGCTGATGTCTACGTAGATGTGAACTCTGAGTGAAGCTCTGTCCACATTCCAGGCATGTATAGGGTTTCTCCCCGGCATGAGTCCTTTGATGTGAATGTAGATTTCCACTCTGGGTGAAGTTCTTTCCACATTCCAGACATTTATAGGGTTTCTCCCCAATGTGAGTTCTGTGGTGAGACCGGAGACCCCCACGCTGAGCGAAGCTCTTTCCACACTCCAGGCATTTATAGGGTTTCTCCCCAGTGTGAGTTTGTTGGTGTCTATGTAGACTTCCACTATCACTGAAGCTCTTTCCACATTCCAGGCATTTATAGGGTTTCTCACCAGTGTGGATCCTTGCATGTTGCTGCAGATGATGCCTCAAAGTGAAACTCTTTCCACACTCCAGGCATTCATAGGGTTTCTCCCCAGTGTGAATTCGTTGATGTGAACGTAGATCTCCACTGGCACTGAAGTTTTTTCCACACTCCAAGCAATTATAGGGTTTCTCCCCAGTGTGAGTTCGTTGATGTGAACGTAGATGTGAATTCTGAGCAAAGCTCTGTCCACACTCCTGGCAAATAAAGGGTTTCTCCCCAGTGTGAGTTCTTTGATGTGAACGTAGATTTGAACTCTGAGTGAAGCTCTGTCCACACTCCAGGCATGTATAGGGTTTCTCCCCAGTGTGAGTCCTTTGATGTGAAAGCAGAGTTTGGCTGTGGTTGAAGCTCTTTCCACACTCCAGGCATTTATAGGGTTTCTCCTGCATGTTGACAGTGGTATGTATTTTTAACTGCAATATGGACACTTCTGTCTTTTATTCCCTTTCTTCTTTTCCCAAAGTCAGTTCAGCAAGATCAGGACCTCGAGAGGATGTCTTTTTCATACAGGACACTTTTCCTTACAGCTTCTTTGGTTTCCAAATTCCCCAATGTCCACTAGATGCTGCTTTGATTGTCATCACACCTGACATAGTGCCATGAAATCCTTATGTTCCTGGTCAAGAAAGAAACAGCAAGAGATTAGACATGAAGCCAAAAAACTCCTTTCTCTTCACAAAACTTTGCTGCTACCAAATTTCCTGGTATCCCCAAATGAATCCTCCACTCAGCCAAGAATCCGCCTCCGATCTGGATACTTCAGATCCAGATTTAAACATATGGAGGTATTCACAACATTCGTCTCTGCTGAACCAATTCCCCTCTCTGCCTTTCACTCCCTCCGTTGTGACCAGGATGGGATGCCAAGGCAGGAAAGCCTCCTCCCTTCCCAGCTTTTTCTACTCAGCCCAGTCATCCCTCTTCTCCTTTGGGGAAATATTCCAACACCTCAAGGATTTAGAGAAACAGGGCATTTCCATAGAGGGATGGAGAAACGTTTGCAGTAATTAAAATCAATGAAGTCCTGGCCTGGGGAAGAACGGGCATCTACTCTGCCCAGTCCTCCCACAGAAGCTTCCTCTCAAATGCTCTCCTGTACATGGGTAAAACAGAGAGAAAAGGGAGAAGCAAATGTGCCAATTTCCCCCCAGACATTAAATAAAAACAAGGGCCTCTGTAGTGAATCTACTTCCAGTCAGGCCTATTTTAGGCCTTAAAAAATGGTAGGCCCAAGGAGACGGCATCCATCTTACAGAGAGGTGCCTAGGGTGTTTAGGAGTGGAGTGGTGTTAGGATTAGAAGAAGAGGCCTAAGTCTGGCCAGGAGTTTGCTAGCAGGGTAGCTAAAGCAAACTTACAGCTAATAGGAGATGAGCTGGTTAGTAGCAGGACAGTATCAGGCTAGATTTATCTGGGCTACTGAAGAATCTCTGGCATAGACCCTGTCTTGTTGGGATTCTTGTTTTGTTTTGGAGGGAGAGAAGATTCTCTGAAGTAACAAAGAAAGAACCATTCTTGTAACCACCACGCTTTTAAGACTCAACTTTCTGAAACAGCCAAGATATTGCCTGCGCTTGTTCCTGTTCTAAATAATAAACTTTGTTGATTATTGCTCATCTCAACCTGAGTCAAGTGTGCTTCATTGCCTGAAGATTTCAAAGTAACTTTAAGCAGTGTGGAAGAAACTAATGGTGGCAGCATACCTTTGAAGAAGATGCTTTAAAAAGGGAACTTCAGTTACACAAACCTTAGGGCTGACACAATCACACTCTTTCACCCCATAGAAACAAAGGGCTTAACAGTACTGTGGAGTGGGTGTGTGTTGGTGAACTTTCAAAAGGGTTTGGTATTCAGCCAGGCAGAAAACTGCCAGCTTTTCTACCATTCAGCCTTTTGATTTTGGGGGCTTTAAAATCTCAGAATCCACTTTCAAGTCTTGAGTGGTGTTCAGGTATGTGTGTTTCCCGGGGATTTCTTATTATTTCCTCAAAAATAAAGTTCCCTTTCTCCAACTTTGTTAGAATTGGTTGAGCAGAGTTGGGATTAATTTTGTATATCCCCCCGCCTATATCTATTTATACAATTCGCTATAGCCTCCAAGTCTGGCAAAATGACCTTCACACTAAGGATCACACCGCTGTGCCACCAATTATAATGAATATCACAGGAAGGAGGTAACTGAATATATATTTGAATTAAGCCTGAACTGTTTCTTCAATTGTTCTCGCTGCCACCTTATTGCTTAGTATTCAGGCTGAGTTATATGTGTGGAGAGGATACTTAGTAACACCCTTCTGTGTTACTATAGTGTTTATTTTCCTCAGAGAGTTCAAATACCAATTACATTTACACACAGCCTGTTGTAATGTGTTAACTATAATAAAACGTTTATTTAACAGGCTTAAACTCTTCTGGTACAAATGCGTAATGGTTTCTGTAAGTTAATGGCACAAAAGCTTTTGGTTACGTTTGATGTAATAATAATAATAATAATAATAATAATAATAATAATAATAATAAACCTTTATTTGTACCCCGCTACCATCTCCCGAAGGACTCGGTGCGGCTTACAAGAGGCCGAGCCCAAATACAACAGTAAAAACAACAGCAACAGCAACAAAATAACTCAAAAAACAAAGCAATAACATTAACAACACACAATGACGCAATTAAAATCAATGGCAGGGCCAAATGTAATAATTAAAATTAAAAAGTGCTGGGCGTGACCAGGTGGAGTGTTTGGAGGGGGATGGGCATGCAGATATTCTATATCTCTGATAAAGTGCATTGGGACATAATGCTAGGAGCTTCCTTATTCTGGGAAGGCATACTGGAACAACCATGTTTTCAAGCTCCTCCTAAAGATTGCTAGCGACGGGGCCTGCCTGATGTCCTTAGGGAGAGAGTTCCAGAGTCGAGGGGCCACCACCGAGAAAGCCCTATCCCTCGTCCCCACCAATCGCGCTTGCGATGCAGGTGGGATCGTGAGCAGGGCCTCTCCAGATGAACGAAGAGATCGTGTGGGTTCATACACAGAGATACGGTCACGCAGGTAGGCGGGTCCCAAACCCAAACCGATGTACAGTTCTTAGATGGGTACTGGGTTCAAATCTAGAGTTAACAAACAGGAGATTATCTCAGGAAACTAATCTCTGATGATAATTCCAAACCAAATTCCCACTTTCTGGAATCTAGCCAAACAACCTTGGCCTAGCCTTCCTCAGGAATAAAAGAAACAGACCATAAGCAAGGTCCTGTTCCCACTGTCAGTATTCCTGGCTAATTCCTCTAGCCCTTGAATACTACAAAAGATTAACCCAATTCTCCTATCTAGCACTATCCAACTGTGAACACCAACTGACAACCTAACTCCCAACTGCCAAATCCCAACTGCCAAAACTCAAGCCTCAAATTCAAAAGGTACATTTTTTTCAGTATTTGAATGTTAGGCTCCACCCCCTATTCCTAACCAATCCTGGCCATCTACTCTTTGCTTACTGGACTAGGACACGCCCCCTCTAAGATAACCTGACCTAAGATGGCGTCTCCCTGTTTCCCTCTTCTAAGATGGCCGCCAGGGCTGTGCTAGGCCCACATTCTGGCTGCTAAAGCTAAGGGTTCTTCATATCTGGCCCCTCAAAAGGAAATCCTAAGAAAGCTGGGCGGTTTGGAAGAGAAAACGTCTTCTCTCTGATGCCAAAATACAGATAACCCCTTAAGGAGCGGTGTGGATCCTGTAACCAGAGCGCCTGCTATTTTTAAACCAGATCAACACATAGACCGGGTTTGAATGCAACAGGAACTGAGGTTTATTGTTTCAGAGTTGAAAGAGTGCCATGTGTGTGTGTGTGTAATGTTCATTTGTGGGAGAAACATAACTAAGAAACCACAGGATGGATTGACATGAAATTTTGATACAATACACCTAATAGTCCATTGAGTGTCCATCACACCTAAAAACACACAAAAAAATCAGCCGAACGGACTTTAACCCCCCCCCCAAAACAAACCATATTTACATACATTCATATACACATGCACACATACAGACACACACATATATACACAAGCACACACAAATATACACACACATATACACATACATACACACATATATGCAGTTACACAAGCGCACACATACACAATATACATATACACTAGGCCTGGGTAACAACGGAAAAATTTGTTTCTAAAATCGATTCGTTTTTTGGGGTTTTTGCGTTTCGTTATTTAAAATAATTACAAAATTTTCCTTTTAAAAAGTTCGATATTTACGAAATTTCGTAAATGTGAAAAAAATTACAAAACATTAACGAATCGATTTCCGAAACAATAACGAATCGATTCGTTAATGGCGGACGCGACCGCGAAATACGCTAAAAAACCTCCAAAACCTTCTGAAGCTTCCCTCTCCCTCTGTTGTTGACTGTTGGTGTGATATTATAATTTTTTTCACTAATTAAACCATAAAACTGGCCCAGACATGCGGAAATAATAACGAAACGACCTCAAAACAATAACGAAACGAATACAATAACGAAATACGAAGCATTTACAAAGCTATTTAAAAATTCGTTTTTTAAAAAAATTGCTCCAGAATGGTTCGTTATCGTTTTGTAATTGAAAAAATTAACGAATTATTAACGAATTACGAATTAACGAAACGAAACCACCCAGCCCTAATATACACATATAAACAGAAATACACAAATATATACATGCATACACACACACACATATATACACACACACAAAAACATATACACAGACTGGGCCACAGCAACGCGTGGCAAGGGATGGCTAGTATATAAATAAAAATGTAATAATAATAATAATAATAATCGTAATAACAACACTCTATTTGTACCCCACTACCATCTCCCCAAGGGACTCGGTGCGGCTTACATGAGGCCGAGCCCAAATACAACAATACAAGCAATAACAACAACAAAACAAGCAATTAAAATAAAAACATAGACAATAAAAAATGCAAGAATTAACAATAAGACAACACACAATTAAAACTGTGGGTAGGCCAAATGTAAAGTTAAAATTGGAAATAATGCCTAAAATGGGTTGTTGTAGGTTTTTCCGGCTTAAAATGTAAAGTGCTTTGGAGGACTGTTCGTTTGTGGGCTTAACATAACTCAAAAACCACTGGATGAATTGACACCAGATTTGGACACAATACATCAAGGCCAACAAGTGACCATCACTCATAAAAAAAACACAGCAGAAGAGACTTAAAAAGCCAAAAAACAAAAATTACATTACAACTCATGCTCAAAACCACATATATATACGTATACACAAATATATACACACACAAAACACATATACACAGACTGGGCCACAGAAACACGTGGCAGAGGACGGCTAGTGTATGTGTATGTATGTATGTATATGTATGTATATATATATATGTATATATTAGGGCTGGGCGGTTTCGTTTCGTAATTTCGTAATTCGTTAAAAATTCGTTATTTTTTTTAAATAACGAAGCGATAACGAACCATTCAGGAGCAACTAAAAAATGAAACGAATTTTTAAATTCGTTTCGTAATTGTTTCGAATTCGTTTTGTATTCGTTTCGTTATTTTTGAAATCGTTTCGTTATTATTTCCGCATGTCTGGGGCAAGTTTTATAGTTGTTGTTTGTTTAATCAGTGAAAAAAAATTATAATATCACACCAACAGTCAACAACAGAGGGAGAGGGAAGCTTCAGAAGTTCCCCCTGTCCCATTTGGAGGTTTTTTAGCGTATTGCGCGGTCGCGTCCGCCATTAACGAATCGATTCGTAATTGTTTCGTAATTGTTTCGTATTGTTTTGTAATTTACGAAATTTTGTAAATATCGAACTTTTTAAAAGAAAAATTTCGGAATTCTTTTAAAAATCGAAACGCAAAAACCCCCAAAAAACGAATCGATTTTAGAAACAAATTTTTCCGTGGTTGGACAGCCCTAGTATATATACATACATACACACACACACTAGCGGTCCCCTGCCACGTGTTGCCGTGGCCCAGTCTGGTGATCTGGAAAATTAAGTAATGAGAAAGTGTTGGTTTCTAATATATCTAATTTCTTTATGCTTTGGGTAAACAGTATTCTTTGCTGTTTCTTTGCCAGTGTTGATGTGGAGAGTGCCTGGTTTGCCTACTCTGGAACATGCAACATATAATTGTCCTTCTTTAGGGCTCCCTTTCAAATCTGTGATACTGCATCTGTTATATACATATGTGTGTGTGTGAATAGCTGGATGGCCCTTTGTCAGGAGGGCTTTGATTATGTTTTCTTGCCCTGGTGAAGGGAGTTGGACTGGATGGCCTTCAGGGAGCATTTCCGAACC